TTTTTGTCATACTGATGTGTTTAATTGATCTGTGTAGTCCAATAAGAAATTAGAACAGAAGTTCTTGGAGCTAGGGTTTTGGATTCCGACTCTGCAGTAATCACTGGAGTGGGTTTAATACTGTTATACACAGTATTTGGTGAGATTATTCCAGTTTTGTTCATAGTACTTTATTTACATGTGTTCTTGAATCATATGTGAATATGTGAATATTATTGTGGTTTGAATTTGTTCAAGAATTGAATAAATTGTTTAATTGGAATAGAAACACGTACTAGGATATTCCAGTTTTCTGTAATTTGATTGTTTGGTACCAACAGTTATAAATCTGAAATTAATCCTGCTGTTATTCAATTTGTGCATGCTATACAACTGTGTTTTTCATTCTGTCATCCGCTTATCTGAATTTATCTGCAAAACTTTTTTCAAAACTTTTTCTGCAACATAAGTGATCTGAAATATTAAAAAATTACTTATGTCCGCGAGTAGTAGCCACTCTTTTACAGAACCTGTAATGGGTTCGAAGGTCGAATTGTCTCAATTCGATGGAAAGGGGGATTACTCGGTTTGGAAGCAGAAAATGAGAGCCATATTAAAGGTTAAACTCTAACCTTACGGGTCCCCCACCACCCCTGCCCTGGAGCATCGTGAGGGAGGTAAATCGCAGATTATGCCTCCAAGGGTACAGGGTGGAAGGCTGCTTGTACACTTGTACTTACCCAAGAGCTAAATCCATATTTCAGGATTCGAACCCTTGGTCCAACAAAGGGTTGCTAAAGCTCTTGAAGATCCAGAAAAATTTTCTGATGAATTAAAAGCTAAGCCTGATGAAATTCTAGATATGAATGAAATTGCATACAGTTTTATTATATTGCACTTATCTGATAACATTGTAAGACAAGTTGAGGAACACAAAACTGCTAGAGAATTATAGACTGCATTAGATACTTTGTTTCTGACTAAGACGTTGCCAAATAAAATTTACCTCTTAGAGAAACTGTTTAGCTTCAGAATGGATGTTGGAAAAGACTTGGAAACTAATTTGAGTAACTTTAACATTTTGGTTAAAAGCCTTTCCCATAATGACAAAATTTGAATATGAGGACCTTGCAGTGATCCTTCTTAATTCCCTACCTAATTCCTATAGGGATATCAAGAATGCAATAAAATATTCAAGAGATGATTTAACGCAATCTATTGTCATCAATGCGTTAAGATTTCGAGAATTGGAAATCAAGAGAGAATCTAGAAATACAAGGGAGGAAAGTATGTTTGTGAGAGGAAGAACTGAAAAGAAGGAAAGTAACTCGAACAATAGAAGATTCAAATCTAAATCAAAAACTAGATCTAAATCACAAGATAGAAGTAATAAGAAGTGCTACCACTGTGGAAAAATGGGACACTTTAAACGTGATTGCTTTGAATTGAAAAAGAAATCAAAAGATCAAAATAATGAAGATTTGAATAATTCTACAATTTGTTCTGAGTTAGACAGTCTTCTTGTAATGACTGTGTTTGACGAAAAAGTTGATATGGACTGGATCTTGGATTCAGGGTTACATTTCATATGTGTCCTAATAAATCATGGTTTAACAATTACAAAGAAATTGAACCCAGGAAAGTATATATATGGGCTATAATAACTCTCAAAGTGTTCTCGGTATTGGTGATATCGCTATCAGAATGCATGATGGCATGGTCAAGAAATTAAAGAATGTGAGACATGTCCCAAATTTGAAAAGAAATCTCATTTCGTTGGGATCTCTTGAAGATTAGGGACATTCTTTCAAGTCTGAAAATAACACCTTGAAAGTTATGAAGGGATCTTTGGTAATCTTTAAGGGACCAAGAAGAAATGAATTGTACTATCTTTTGGGAGAGACGGTTATCCCTCAAGATGCTAAATCTTTGACCATAACGGAAAATAAATCTGAATTGTGGCACAACAGAATGGGACATATAGGAAATAAAGGTTTAAAGTATCTAAGTAATCAAAAGTTGTTTGGGAAGGATACGATTGAGCCACTTGAATTTTGTGAAACGTGTGTTGGGCAAGTCACATAGGGTGAGCTTTGAGACTGGATCACATACAACCTCTAGGCCTCTAGACTATGTCCACTCAGATTTATGGGGACCGAAAAGTCATCCTACATTTGGAGGGAATAAGTACTTTCTTTCTATAGTTGACGACTACTCCAGAAAAGTTTGGACCTATCCATTGAAATCTAAATCCGAGACTTTTCAAAAATTCCGAAGGTTGAAGATGGTGGAAAATCAACTTGATAAGAAGTTAAAAACTCTAAGAACTGACAATGGATTAGAATTTTGCAATGCTGAGTTTGATAACTTCTGTAAGCAAAAAGGAATTGTAAGACACAGAATCGTTAAGCACACACCGCAACAAAATGGGGTTGCAGAAAGAATGAATAGAACTCTAATGAACAAAGTAAGATGTATGCTAATCAGTTCTGGATTAGCAAAAGGTTTTTGGGCGGAGGCTGTATGTACAGCTGCTTATCTTATAAATCGATCTCCATGTAGTTCTGTTGGATTTAAAACTCCACAGGAACTTTGGATGGGAAAGACCTCCAAACCATTCTCATATTAGGGTGTTTGGATGTGCGGCATATGCACATCAAATTGAAGGAAAATTGGACCCTAGAGCTACTAAGTGTGTGATGCTTGGGTACCCGGAAGGTGTTAAGGGGTACCGGTTGTGGGTGTTAGGCGTTTAAGGCATTAAAATCATTAATAGTAGAAATGTGATTTTCAATGAATCCGAAATGCCATGCCTAAAGAACAAAATTGATAATTCTAAAGAGCAAAACAATGAGACTACTTCACGGAATGAGGTGAAACTAACAAGGTTAAATCCCACTCAACATGAAAATATTGACGAGGGTGTACAACAATCTGATGAAAATGTTGTTGACACGGATGAAGGTGAAGTAGGTCCGGGTGAAGTCGAAACTCGGATTGAAAGCCCAAATGTTCCCACTATTGAAACAAGTGCTCAAGATTATCAATTGGTGAGAGATAGGGAAAGGAGGCAAATCAAACCAAATCTAAGATATGAAATAAATAATTTGACCGACTTTGCCCTTATCTCGGGTGAATCTTTAGAGTATTCAGAATCTTCATCATATGAAGAGGCTATGAATAGCTCTAACTCTGAAAAATGGAAAGATGCAATGAAAGAAGAAATGAAATCTTTACTTGAAAACAATACATGAAATTAGTAAAAAAATCGAAAAATCAAAGAGTTGTTCAATGCAAATGGATTTTCAAACTAAAGGACGGGGTTGTGTCATCTGACCCTTTGAGATATAAAGTCAGGCTAGTAGCCAAAGGATTTACTCAAAAAGAGGGTGTTGACTACAATGAGATCTTCTCATCGGTTGTCAAATATAAGACCATAAGGTTGATGCTTGCACTAGTTGTTCAGTTCAATGGGGAACTATAACAATTAGATGTCAAGACGGCATTTTTACATGGTGAATTAGATGTGGAGATCTATATGAATCAACCTTAAGGGTTTGAGGTGAAGGAGAAGGGAGATTATATGTGCAAGTTGCAAAAGTTATTGTATGGGCTCAAACAAAGTCCAAGGCAATGGTACATTAGGTTTGACACATATGTGTTGAAGATTGGTTTCAAAAGGAGTGAATATGATCACTGTCTATTCTATAATAACACTAGGGCTGGTAGTGAAGTTTATTTACTTCTATATGTTGATGACATGCTATGGGCTAGCTCTAGTAAATCTGAAATTTTGAAACTTAAAGGGCTTCTAAAATCAGAATTTGATATGAAGGACTTGGGAAATGCCAAGAAAATTTTGGGAATGGTTATCAACAGAAATGGGCAAGATAACATTTTAACTAAAACACAAAGTGCTTATTTGAACAAAGTTGTAACCAAGTTTGGCATGAAAGAAGCCAATAAAGTTAATGTACCTCTTGCAGCCAATATGAATTTATCATCATCTCATTCTCCTAAAACTGAAAGTGAAATGGAAGAAATGAAAAATATCCCATATGCTAATGCCATAGGATCAGTCATGTTTTCTATAATTACTACTAGGCCGAATTTGGCTTATGCTACAAGTTTCTTAAGTATATTCATGTCTAATCCGGGGAAACCTCATTGGGCGGGGTTAAAGTGGCTTTTAAGATACATTGCCGGGACATTAGATGTGGGATTGGTGTTTGAAAGAAGATCCGAACAATTCACTTTTAAGGGGTATGTAGACTCCGACTTTGCTAGTGATAAAGATCAAAGTAAGTCTACTACCGCCTATTTCTTTACACTGGGTGATAATTGCATCACATGGAAGTCACAACTTCAATCGGAATATGTGGCAATAACCGAATCTGTAAAAAAATGTATCTGGTTGAAAGGAATTTTGGGGGAGTTGAATTTTTTGCAAGTGTCACCTGCTATTTTCACCGATAGTCAAAGTTCTTTACTTTTATGCAAAAATCTAGTTTATCATGAAAGATCTAAACACATTGAGGTAAAGTATCATTTCATACGTGAAAAAATTGCTTATGGTGATGTTATACTTGAAAATATTCATACCGATGATAACCCATCTGATATGGGAACCAAAATTCTAAATGTAGGTAAGTTTAAGTCATGTTTATCTTTACTACATATTGATACAAGCTAATATCTTTTGCAGGTACTAAGGGCGATGATGTAGGGCAAAAATCATTACCGTCACATGCATTGTAGCAACTAGAGAGAGCTAGGGGTTTGTGAAAACAAGGTGAAGATTGTGAAATGTTTTCAAAACCAAAACACGTTTTTTAAAGGTGCCAAAATGTTTTTACAACTTGTTGGCCACATGACAATTTCCTATTGGCAAATTAGTTTTCACATGGATTTGTTTTTCTTTGGAAAAAGCATGGACCATTGATTTTAATCAATGTTTGAAATTAGATCCCCTTTTAATTAAAACATGGTGGACGGTTTTTTTTCAAAAAGGGAGATTTTTTTCATTTTCTCTTCCTCTTGTCTCTCTCTCTCGAAGGGTCTCTCTTGGTGATTTCACAAGGAGTTTTTCTCTTGTATTAAATCTGAAATTGTGACCGGTGTTGATGGGGTATCAACTGTAGTATTTTGGCTGTTTTGTGGTCTATGGTCCGGTGGTATTTTGGCCCGAAAATTGGTCCGTTTTTCAGCGAGTAATAGCCGATGTTTGGCGTTGTATTTGAGCAATTTTTTGCCTTGTTTCGGTAGATATTAAACTGTGAAGTCAGATACTATTTTTGGTCCAGGTCAGGTTTCGATTTGGTGGAGTATTGTGAGATCCTTTTGTTGGATTGATGATCTGATTGTGTGTGAGTTGAGATCCGAACCTTGTAAACAAACGGTTGCTCTTTCTTGTGAGGTTCTTGCATAGTGACGGGCTTGGAACTTTTGCCTCTGAGCTCCCCAGATTAGGCTTGACCGAACTGGGTGAACAATTTATGTATTCTTTAATTTTCTGCATGATTTTTATTCTTGCTATGCGTGAGAATTGACGACAAAAATCGGATATTGGGTGAAAAATCCCAACAGATGCTTGTCGTACTAAAACCGAGATAAAAAAATAAAATAAAATAAATGAATACTATATATAACAAGCAGAGGTTGGCTGACTGATTATTGTTAAGGAAATGATAACTTAAATGATTAGGACATGTTTTGCATATACTTAGAGGCTACTGGTATTAGAAGAGAGAATGGATCTAATTTGTACCGAAAGTAGCGAGAAAAGTTTAATATAGCCGACTCTGAATTTCAAGAGTAAGGCCTAGTTTTTGTTCTTCTTCTTTGTGTGCATCTCTATGAGGGGTAAAATTCCACGGGTATAACCGCTGGTCATGTTGATGTATGCCTAATGCTTCCCTCTTTCCCGATAACGGTAACATAGATTTAGCTTCTAAACTGAATTTAGTGAACACCTTTTGACGATGTTGAAACCATCATCATGTCTGTGTAACACAAACCAACTAAATTGCTACAGTCTTTTCGCTACTTTGGAGTTTGGCAATTGATTCCCGGAAAAGCTTGATGTCAAATCCTTTTATGTTGCATATATCTGAATATATTTTAGTTTTAAGACAAGGAAACGCTGGAAAATGTTGAGATCTGATTGAAATGGCCCTGTGTTGTTCACATTTGTAAAACAAGGATATACCTCAAATGGAGATTATCCGTTTGTTTTGCATCTTTCCTCCTTGGTTGTTGTAACTTTTTGAGTGTCCGTTTCATTGTTAAACATTCTCTTTTTGCATCAAAATCGTTGATCGTCTTTTAAGAAGTATAAACCATGTTAAACTTGTGGCATTTTACTAACTGTTATTGCAGAAACCAAGTGCTATCATCTTTCTACTACATCAACACCTCCCTTCAGTCAGGAAGAAGGTCTCTTGTCACACGCCATACCTATATTATCCAAACGTCCAAGGTTTCTTCTGTCTCCACGAGCAACTAAGGATGATGTGTGCACTTGCTGGTTTGTATGCTGATGTCCCATTTTTGTGTGATACGGCATATATTCAGATTACGTACCATTGCTGAGGAAGGTTTATACGTTGTAGAGAAGTGAGAGACAGAAAAGGGTGTTTCAGTTGGCCAATAGCAAATCCAAGTTTTCAATCAAAATGTCTACGTAATATTGTAGTCATCGGTCTAATCGAGTTATGGAGACAATTGAAATGGCGTTTCCTCCTAGAAACTTCTGTCGACAATTCAAGCCACTGGGTTTGATGTACATGTCATTACAAGCTACCAAAATGCTCTGAAACCGAAGTACCTGACTTTTAGTTATGGTGACAATTTAGACAATTCAAATATTGTTTCCATGTACTGGGAATCTTCATCTCTACTTCAAGCTTTTGGGTTTAGTTACCGGTTTAGTCATGTTTGCCTTTTTCTTGCAACGATATCAACAGAAAATTGATTTTCGGGTTCTTTGTTTCCTCACTCTATAGGAAGATGAATGTATGCAGTTTGGCTATTCAAATTGAAACACGAGTCTAATGTTAGTCATCATTCAATTCAGGGTTTACATCGAACAGACACTAACTTAAAAATAACTACCTTTTTTAGCTAAGCCAAACATAACGCCATTAACTAGCAAGCAAACTTTTAAACCCAAATGTTTCCTTTCGAATTTAAATATACCATAACAAAATCACCCGGAACAAAAATCAGAAATTACAAAACACCAACATAAAAACAATTCTGATCAACTTCATCAACTTCCTATTGAATCAGGGATAACCTAGAATTTTGGATGACAAAATAAAGGTAGGCTACGTCCTTAAACTACACAAACCTTCGGGAACAATATGTATCTTCATTTGAAGCACTTGGCATCGAGCAGAGCCTCACCCTCAAAAGGCTCTGCATCTTCAATCATCTGGTTGACACGTTCCTTTTGAGCCTCATCATTGAGATCGACCTTGGTCCACTCATAGAGCTCCATGTCATAACACTCGTCAAGAACAAACTGAGGAATTTCTTTACCCCGGAAAAGCCACAATCCCTTCACCTTGAATGGGGGCTCAGAACCAATGATCAACATCTTCCCAAAGGCATATTTGCGGGCCAAATCCATTCGCTGCAAAAAGCCACTCACTTTGTTCAAAGTCACAAAGGAAACTGTGTTCTCATCGTTGTACTTGTAATTGCAGAACCAAAGAGAGTATCCCTCGGCATCAAACATGTCCCAGAATCCTGTGAATTAAGAAAACCATAAGCCTGGCCAGGAAGAGTAAAACTAACCACTTGTGCTTCACCCAATTATTTGAATTAGTGAATTCACAATCTCTGATATGATTAAGAAAAATATGAAAGAAGACAGTTATAAGCAAAATTAGAATAAAAAATAACACGTCTCAGCACATTGAACACTACTCAAAGATTTCACAGGAAGAAAAACAAGATGACATAAAGAGATACCAAGCCAGTGATATTTGAATGAATAGAGCTGTTCGCAAGTTAAGAGTCAGAACATTGCTTTTATTCAAAGAAGTAATATCACTACAGTCATACAAATCCAGCCAAATGGCAAGTAGCAATGACTAATACTGTATTGGTTGTGATAGAAAAATCAGAAGTGACTAATCAGCCAGAAAGTTTAATGGAAAAGCATAAGAATTTATTTGTTACAGTCTCAGACAAGGAATCTAAAGATATTTGACTGATTTAAGTAGTCGGTAGAGTTTCCACTTGAATAAATCACCAACTAATAACAGGTCATTTCTTAGTACTAGAACATAGAGTTTGACTCATTAATGATACTTTTCAGATAATAGATTTCATGTTGGCCGCGAGAGAGAGAGAGACAGATGCAATAAGAGGTCAAAAATACGCATTTCTCAAAACCATGTAAACACTCAATATAATTATAGTGCTCCAGAAGTGAAATTCTTTATAATAAATTAATAATCACCTTTAATGGCAACCTCACGGAAGTTGCTTTTGGTGTTAGAGTACAGCCTCTTCCATTCATCCAGAATCATCTTACTTGGAGGTAAAAGATCCAATGGATTCTTAGGCTTTGGCTTGGGTGCTTCTTCTTCCTCTGCTGCTACGTCTTTCGGCTTCACTACTTCTTTCTTCGCCTCTTTCTTTGGCTCATCCTTTGGTTCGGGTTTTGCAGATTCTTTAGTCTGTGCAGGCTTCTTGGATGCAACGGGAGGGACAGATTCTGTTTGTTTCAGATCACCCAATATTTTATGAAATTTTGGCTGATTAACCATGGTCCAGAAGTATCTCTCCACATGAGGGAACTCTGATGTAAAGCTCTTAGTCATGATACGCGTAAATCCAGCACTCAGGTTGCATGTCATAATAATGTCAGCCAGTGTGATGCCATGACCAACCAAGTAGGTGTTAGAAGCCAGATGGGTGTTCAATGCTCCCAGCGACCTTTTCAATGCAGCAATTGCAGGCTCCTCAGCCTTACAACACGAAGATAATGCGAGTGAGTTAATAGTCATGGAAATTTTCGTTTGTCCATGAAGTACTAAACATGTATGTAAGTGCGAATGAACATCAAGTTTCAACATACCGGAGGAAGGTATATAGCTATACCAATTCGCGGATATAACCAACGACCAATATTAACATCGATCTCAGTAGTGGCAAAGTCAATCCATTGCTCAATGCGGCCCTACCAAAATAAACGGAAAAAAAAAAAAATAGCATAAGAGAATATGAGAAAAGTATAGATTCTTTACAAAGAGTTCATTACGCAAGTAAAAAAATAAAACTAGATTAACTAAAATCTCAATGCTTACATAGTCAATCAAGGAAGTGCCATACAGGGGGTTATCTGCCTTCAGCCGTGTAACTGCACAAAGTGATAGAAAAAAATGTCAAAATAAACACTAAAAATAAATCAGGTGGTTAAAAAGGAACAGAGAAATGATTTCACCGTATCGAGCAATAGCATTGCTTTCAAATATTGGACCATCGGGAGTTTCAAGTACAGGAATCTACAGGAGAGAAACTCAGATCAGGAAAAAATGGAACACCATAACTAGCATCACATGTTTTCCCCCGTGTTATCTTGCATACCTTTCCAATAGGATTCATTTTGAGGAACTCAGGAGTCTTGTTTGATACACCCATCTCAAAATTCTTAACAAGTTCAATTTTTACATCACTGAATTCTGCAGCAATGAGTGCCTTGAAGCCATTCTTGTTTGTACTACTCGCATGTAGAACCTGACACCAAACAAGGTCAAGAGATTACATCAAATCATAAAACATACATGCACAGACACACATGTATGCACTAAAATCTACTAATGTCAAAGTAATATGCTACCACAAATAAATGCAAACTCCAATAATTTGAGTAAAAGGGCCAAATAAGTAACATATTGGATATTTATAAGCTGAAGCTTGTGAATGATAACTTCAAGCCTACAGAAGGCAGCCGTGTTAAATTTAAGAATTTAACTTTTTTATTGAAATAATATTTCAAAATGCACAGGATGCATATCAATGTAAAAGCCACTCACTGGCCTTGGATGCTGGATCACGCCAAACGCACAAAAACCACCATAAAGTAAAAATGCCTTTGCTAAATTAAGAAGAATAATGAAGATTACAATTTACAAGATCATAAATTTCAACTGAAGGATCCATCGTAAGCTCACATACTTATTTCCATCTTTTCTTATATATCGCCAATAGATCTTCTCAACACATCTACAAACTATTTAAAATTTACAAGATAACTATGATTAACAATGTTGAATTCCATAAAAACCAATCAAATATTACCGGAATTTCTGATTCAACTCAATTGAAAAAAACATATATCGATTAACGTCTCACATATATAAATTATTCTTCTCAAACTTAGAAAAATACACGATTTTACAAAAAAAAAAAAAAAAAAAGGCACACGCAGATCTGTTAAATTACACAATAATCTGTCAAAAAAAAAAATTTAAAAAAAAAAAAAAAAAAAAGGCACACGCAGATCTGTTAAATTACACAATAATCTGTCAAAAAAAAAAATTTAAAAAAAAAAAAAAAAAAAAGGCACACGCAGATCTGTTAAATTACACAATAATCTGTCAAAAAAAAAAATTTAAAAAAAAAAAAAAAAAAAAGGCACACGCAGATCTGTTAAATTACACAATAATCTGTCAAAAAAAAAAATTTAAAAAAAAAAAAAAAAAAAAGGCACACGCAGATCTGTTAAATTACACAATAATCTGTCAAAAAAAAAAATTTAAAAAAATAGAAAAGTAATCGAGAAACTAGAAATACTCACCAGAGCCATGGCTTCACAGTAGCAAATTGTTCACCCTTTATAACGAAATCAATCTGAAAATCATCAATTAACCCAAAAACTTTCTCCAAAAAATTAATGACGTTAACAAACATACAAACCCAATAAGCAATTATAATCGTAAATACAGAGAAATAAGAAATAGATCAGAAAAGAATAGCTAGAAAAAATAGAAGACAAATGGATCACCTGGACAGAGTGAAAGAAGCCGCTTGCAGAGAGTGAAGATTATGCGATAGAAGAAGATTTAGGGTTTGTTGTGAAAATGTGGTGGATATATATATAGTAGTGTGTGTGTCGTCCAGAGAAATTAGCAGTGGAGGTCCCTAACATTCAAATAGGAGCATTTATTTCCTTATTTTTTCATTTTCGTAGCACTTTCATCCATAGGTATCAGACAATCACCGATCCCAAAGCACTCTGTCGAGACACTGGACGGGTATTTGGTTAAACCAAGCGGTCATTGTTAGATACACTCAAATAAAAATAATTTTTCTAAATAGGAAAATCATACATTTTGTTGAATATTATTATTATTATTGAATTTTCCCAAAAAACCTCAGCCCCACCCTTCAATAGGGGGGCGCCACATGGCCCCCCGTTTTTGGGCCTGTTCAAGGAGCATCTCTCTTGAATTTTACGTCGAGATAATTTGTATTACCATAAAATAATATGATACTTTTAATCAGATGGAAATGTTTGTATAGAAATTTTTTAAAGATGTACTAATTGAATTTTTAAACCATGTAGTTGATTTTTTTAATAATTAAGTTCTTTATGTTTAACCATAAAATTTGATTAGTAAATTGAATAAAACTCCGAGTCAGTGAGGGAAGAATTTAACTATGAAAAATTTACAAATTATATAAAAATTCATTCAATTAGCAATTATTTAAATCTAAAAACACTGATAAGCATCTAAAAATTTGCTTATTAGTTGACAATCGGATACTTCGACATGTGCAATAGAAAGCACCTATTCATAGTTCGGTCTCTATTCGCTTTCTGACTTGACATGTGAAAGAGTTTGGCCTATAATGTCGAACTTCCCACCTTTGTCCAAAAGTAGGATTGAGTGCAATTTTTTATTTGAATCGGTTTCGACTCAAATCCAAGACCAAAATCAAATTAGTTGGTTTGGACGAATTTCAACTCAAATCAACCCACTCTAATTCTTAATCCGAATCCAAAATACATGGTTCGGTTCGGTTCGGTTAGTCGGTTTGGACTTTTAATCCAAATTGAAATTTTTTTTAAAAAAATGTCAAAGTTTTGGGTCCACTTAAATTACCAGAGCTAAAATAACCAAGTAATTTTATATTTCAAAAACTATTGACTAACAAATAAAAAAATCGGGTTAATAGAGATAGTTCAACATAAAATTTTAAAATTTTATTGCTTTTTATGTATTTTGTAGTCTACGGCTTGAGTATGGAAAAAATGTCAAGTATAACATAATGACTTTATGAAAGGAAATTTTCAATGCTACTACTTACCAGCAGCGTCATAAATTAGAGAAAATCAAGATATAGTTATGAGATTATTGCTTATCTTTTGATTTTTATTTTTCTTAAAAAAAAATTTAAAAAAAAAAAGTAAAAATGTAATTGGATTGGGTTAGTTCGGTTAACCAATGGTTTGAAACTTCAAACCATGATTGAACAAACCCACCATTGTTATGTTTAAAAGAAAATCAAACCAAACTAATTATCCGTGTCGCACCGACTGAACCAATCCGAATCGATTAGATTTGATTAGTTTGATTTATTTTTTCTATTTTTTTGCCCAGGCTAGCCCAAAGCCGTAGAAGGGTCTAAAACCTAGGAATAATGTTATAGATTTTGTTGGTCACTCAGGTTGAAGTGGATCACACCGCCACTATAACGGTGGTGATCTTAGATGCGAGTTTGGGACCAGTTTCAAATATGTTTGACTTTCTAAAATAAAAACTCCGATTTAAACAATGGTTTGATGTTGCTATTGTTGATCATTTCCTGTCTTTTTTTTGTAAATGAGGCTCAAGATGTCGGTCATGGCCGATATTCTTAAAGGCAGAGATCCCACATACCGTGATTTTGAGGGCCACCATTATAGAAATTGATGTAGCTTATATGATTTTTAATCACGTTTTCCACATTGAGCTCCATTTGAAAGATTTATATTGTCATGTTGAACTATTGCGGTGCTTTTTGACTAAGACTATGACTTCTCACAGGGTAGAACGGTGGACTGTCCGAAGAGCATCTTGAAAGTCTTTTCCCGCATTATGACTCCGACAATTCCTTGAAAGAAGGAAAATTCCCTCTTTATGGCTGCGTAAGTGGATAAAGACAACTAAAATTGAGTGGCAAATGGAGCTATTTCACTATAAATATGAAAGCCCGAGAATGACTAACCAAGAGGGAGGGTGAATTGGTTATTTAAAACTTTTTCAATAATAAGTGCTAATAAAAACAATTTGCAAATATAATAAAGAGTAAGCAAGATAACTTGGAAAAATAACAAGAGAAAGTGATAGAGAATGCAAACGATGTGTTATGGAGGTTCGATCCAATCACGATCTACGTCCCCCGTTATCAAGCTCTCCGTCATGAGCAAGGCCTTTTTCACTAAATGTGATTGACTTATGGTGCAATCTAACCACTACAAAGCTTTCGGTAACTTACAAACAAGGAGCACTGATCTTTTTACAACGTTGAGCTTTCCGGGACCTCAACACGACCTACAATTCAATCAAAAGTAAATTTTACAAGAAATGAATCTTCTTCCACAATGAAGATATATTCAAAGTTGAGTACAATAGAAAGAAGTAGGGTAACACTTTAATGAATGGTAATAAGTGAAGCTCAAGTGTTAGGTTTGAAGAAAACTTTGATAAATGAAATGCTTTTCAAAAGTAAACTCAATCAGAAGTTTTTCAAAAGTCAATGAATATCAAATAAATAAAGAGTAGAGAGTTGAAACTTGAATGTATGTCAGTTTAATACTTTTGGAAGTGATAATAATGAATGCAAGAGGTTGGGGGTATTTATAGAGTCCAAAATGTTTAAAAAAATCTGAATTTGCGGATGACTCGTCCAATCAACCGCCTCTTGTACGGAAGACCAATATAGTCGTTTGTATAGTAAAAATTAGAACTCAGAACGGTCAAATTCTGGACCGTTGGAGGATCCGGTCAACCACCTCTCATGGCCAGTCGACCGCCTCTCTAGGCGGTTGACAGTCCCGGCAGTGCGGTCTTTTCACGTTTTGGCCTCGTTTGTTCCGATTTGAAAGTTTTAAAGTGTATGGACTTTTGGAGAATATTTTTAACTAAATTTTCATAATAAAAATGTTTTAAAAATTCATATATCATTTTTAAGTCATTCAAAAAGGTTGCATTCGAATTATCTTAGTGCACAAAAATTGTTTTTAATGCATAGCAAGATTTTGAGCTTAACTATTCTTTGCCAAATATTAAAGCATTAGTACCTTTACATTTTGCCAAAGAAATCAAGTCTTTGCTCCGAAGTATGCCTCTTCTTGATCTTTCATTGATGTCGTCTCTCACGCTCTTGATCTTGATCTTTTTTTTTGCATTTATCTCTTAAGCTTTTTGTCTCGAATAATTTGACTTGAATACATGACTTTCACTTTGATCTTCATTTGAAGTCCGATAATACATGATTGATTTGAACATTGAACCATCATCACTAAAAAGAATTTGTTAGAAATAAAAATAATCTTGTTTGTTATAGTCAAAACAATTAGGATTAAGTCAACAATATGTCAACAATTTTTTCCTTTTTGATTATGACAAACAAAATGATTTGCAAGATAAATTTAACAATTTATATCAAAAGAATATACATTAAAAGATTTATCATGTGATCTATTCCCCCTATCCTTTACAAATCATGACCATATATTCAAGGCGTATATTTTATGTTCAATTTAAAATCATGCATAATCATCTCACCATATTTCCCCTTTTGGCATAAGCAAAAAGATATAGCATTTAAGAGCAATATAAAATCATGCACCATTCCCACCTTAATTTAACACACAAAGCATAAAAATAGTTTAGACGTCATATATAAGCAAATTTAAAGACAATAGTAGTTAATTGTTTAGACCCACATAAAGAGTACAATACAAATGCATAAAATTATATCTAAGACTCCGAAGGAGGTGGTGGCGGGAAAATTGCATCAAACCGAGCATAAAATGCATTTTGTTGAGCTTGCATGGCTTCCTGCTGAGCAATGTAATAAGTATAGAAAGCATCTTGCTGAGCCTGTACCATCGTTTGTTGAGCTTGTATTGTGTCTTGTTGAGCTTGCAATTGGTGAAGCATTCCGTCAATCCCGTCGATAGATGAGGTAAGAAAGTCAAGCCGACCATTTAAAAGATCGTAGTGATCCTCGGTAAACGTAAAACGACTCAAAGGTGGAGGAGCACTTGATCCCGGCATGTCATGTGGAGGACTGGGAACGAGTGGGTCTCGTCGGCCTGATCATCTTCCTCCTCGTCATCTCCTTCGAAGGGTAAGGTTGAAGGGCTCGAATCCAGATCAGACCCCTTAGTACGAGCCACCCGTTGCCCAGGCTCCTTGACAATTTTCATTCGTTTAAGAGTATGAATGTTGATAGTGTCAGTGGGACGGAGTAAAACGGAGATTTCACCATTTAGAGGAATTTCAAAATGTTGAAAGATCTTAGTGAGTAGCATGCCAAATGGTAAGACCTTTATGCGAGTGGCGGAATGGACTATTTTCATGTGACCAATAACAATAGTTTGAGAGTCTATTTTTAGTACGATTAAGAATGAGTGAAGAAGAAATAAATCGAAGTGAGTTACTTCATCGAGATGACCTTTCCTCGGTAGAATAATATGGGCGATGATGTTGTGTAAAACCTTACAAGGTAAAGTTAATTTATTTGAACTAAGTTTTATCGGGTGTTCAAAATTCTTTCCGGTCACTCTACGGCATGCAACAATAGGATTATAACCTTCAAAGGTTGGATGAGCCATATGACAAAACACTTGATTTAAACAATCTTCTAACTTAAGAAGACAACGTAGAAGGCATGGGTAATTGTAATTCTTTTACATTTGAGAAAACAAGAAATACTGCCCAGACGAGGAATATAAACCATGTTTTTGTAAAATTCTTGCATAATCTTAGGATAAGAATTTTCTTCCATGGATGCAATGGAAATACAATCCATGCTTTCAAAGAACCCTGCTATATGAAATGTAGGTGCTTGAAGTGTAAAATCGCCAAAATCTACAGTCTTACCTATAAGAATGGGAGATTTATCAAAGTGATTTTCTGGCACTTCG